CAAAATAAATAGTTATTTTGTATACAAACGGAATATTTGAGTATTCATTGAAGTTTCCAACCCTTCAGACCATTAGATATATTGGACATTGTTTTTGATGATCAGATCGAAAGTATCTATTATTTTTGATTCATTTTAACTTTACTTCATATGTAAATTGGTTTAACTTTTATTTTTGTTATGTTTGAGAAATATCTATATTTAATGATTAAAACTCATGAATACTTGCGTTAATATTTATATTTCTATGAAACTTTTCATTTGAAACGAAAATTCATTATAAGAAAACTACATTTTTGTTTAATTTATGCCATTAGTCTGTCGTCCATAAGTCTATTCAAAATAATTGTAGTTTTTTTATTGTTGAGACTTCATTGAGACTTTGGATTTTGTAACATAACATTGAATTTCTAACTCATAAAATCCAAATAATAAAATCCAATTTTCATTAGACATTAAATAAAATAAATATAATTATTACAATTATTGAACAATGAATTTCATATCAATCCAAATGTCATTAACTAATACTCTGTTGCCGTCGTTGTTGGGCCTTCAGGTGCGCGAATCAGTGCTTCAGTTCGCCGGTTATAAAGACCGTCAGAAGCGCCGAATGAGTCTTCCGATCGGCCGCTTCTCCGAGCGATTGCAGTCATCGGTCGGTCATGCAGTCGCGTCCCACCGCTCAAGACGTAACTCATCCACCTCTCAGTCGTCCACCTCTTCGTACACCGAGTCGTCGTCTGACGAGGAAAATGATTCCGGAGTTTCGCCCAGAGATAAGAAACAACAGACCTCTAAGGGATTCAACGATTTTTGTGTCAAGAATATCAGCCATTCGTCGTTCGGTCGCAGAGAGATTGAAGTCGCGGAGAAAGGTTTGCATTGCGTTTCGTACAGTATTTACATATGAAATGCTATTTACGCCAAATATAAGTGTTGCGAAATAAGACATCACAAGTTGTTATTGTTGTTGATGTGCAGAAATGCCGGGAATAATGGCCCTCCGCTTACGTGCCGGTGACGACAAACCACTAAAAGGTGCCAAAATAATTGGTTGCACTCATATTAACGCCCAGTCAGCCGTACGTACACTTTCCTCTCACTCATTAAGACTTAACTCTAATTCCAACGCTTATATCCATGTGATTATCACTTTCGTCACTTCCCACTGCTTTTTTCAATTCGTGGGATTAATGAAGTTTATTATATTCAAGACAATGCTTACATCCGTGCCATTCATACATTGTTTTATGAATACCAGAATATTCTACTTTCTGAATATACTTTACTGACATTTAGATCGATATTTGCTTTCATTTATACATACAGTATATTGTATTTCGTTATCTATTTATATATGGAAATTAGATATACATTTATTTTATTATAAATTTTGAGAAAAAGTGAACATTCATTTTGTTGTTCACTTTTGAAAGCATTTTATTTCGGGAGAAAGTTTTGCTACAATTGAGTTTGAAATGAAATTTTTACTGAATTGAGGTTTTGGGCCAGAATTTAATGAAATTGAAAGCCAGTAAACATTTTCTATTTAATAGAAATACTGAATTTTAAGCAATCGATTGAATTTTCTCTATTATTATTATACATTATTATAGTTGCAATTTTTGGATTGCATTAAAATCCTATTTCATGTAGCGATGAATAATAGATATCTTTAATCAAATGTTTTACAATAGAAGTGATATTAATTCAAATACTATTTTCTCTTATTGTGCAATGAATTGATGGACCAAACTATAGGTACTCATCGAAACATTAGTGGCCTTAGGGGCGACGGTTCGCTGGTCTGCCTGTAATATATATTCAACACAGGTATGTATAGTAATGAAAGGCCAGCCATTATTCTGGTCGTCTCTTGAGCTCTTATTTTTGAATCCATTTTCGTTGGTTTCCTTTGCTTTTTGCACTATTTTTCTACTGGTTTTATAGTCGATAAGTAAAGAATAGGCAAAACGTCAACCAAAATCATAGACTCGAAGAAGCATTTGTCAAATGAAAAACGATTATTGATTTTTATCCAATAATTTAATGTCACTATCATTTGTATTGACGCTCTCTTTCGCTCTAAGGATTATTTGTATTTGAATTGAATTTTACATTTGGATTATATTTTTATATTTAAATTTTGATTGTTTTTTGATTATCTGTTTTGCATTGCATTTGCAAAGCAGAGAATTATGAAAATTGATTTGTTTTTCAATATTATTTATAGATATTTTACTCTCTCTTCTCATGGTTTATATTTTTAAGTAGTATTTTCTGTGAACGGATATTATGTTTATCACGAAAAATGAGAACTAATTTTCTGTTATGTTATGATTTAATTAGTATTTATAGGTTATTAAATACCTGAATCTTATTTTTCATGAAATCTATTAATGCTTTTCCTTTTTATATCTTATGATTTCTTGTTTGCTATAAATTATAGCGAAAATAAATTATTTTTTCTCTTAATATAACATTATTGCAATTATAACATTAATCGCTATTTATTAGCGAAATATATTATTAAATATAACATTTGTTTTGTTATTTATAGAACACTATCGCCGCAGCTCTCGCTGAAAATGGTATGATATCTCATAATACTGTATATCTTATAATATAATTATAAGTTACTATACTTTACATCCAGTTCTTGTGCTTTTCTAATTTAATTTATATTTTCATTTATAAAACTCTCTCTCTCTCTCTCTCTCTCTCTCTCTC